CTTGCACCCAAGGCCGAATGGAGTAGGGCAGCGATGGCTGATCTTTTTGTTGTTGGGTGCCAAAAACGCGAGCGTGCGATAGCACGCACGCATGCCGGAACCTATAATGCAAAGCCTCCCTTGGTCCCCCCCGGAGGCCCTCCAGGAGCAGGAAACAGATCATTTACGAACTTCTGTTAGGCCCCATTTTTCGCCCTTCCCAGGCTCCGGAGGCTTTCCGGAAGGCCGAAAATCAGCTGGCCAGCACGCACACGTGTGCTGGAGCCGATGGCTCGTGTGCTGGCAGATATGGCTCCGTGTGCCACCTGTGGCACGCATGCCATAGATTCGCTATCACGGGGGTAGTAGGGCTGGACCGTTCCCCGGTGTTTTTAACCATAGCCATTTCTTGACATGTGGACTTCTCACATGGTACAGGCGGTCCTCGAGTTATGGCCACAACAGTCTGCCTACGATAGCTGTAAAACGGGCCAGTCTGCTCGCAGCATCTTACAATCGTATGACGGATTTGCGACATTTTTTGTCAGCGGTTGTTAAAACACCGCAAAATTCATGTGAACCCATTGTTCACAGCACAATTATGCCGAAAGATGGAAGTGGTTCCTATGGACAAGGGCGGCATAGAAATATAATAAACTCAATTCAATTCAATTCAATACAAGAGGGTCATAAATTGTGGTCAGGTGAACCACGGGGGATGGGTTCCTAGGATGCTGCAAAGATGGCCGTGGGTCCAAGTGTGGTCACGTGACCACAGTGGGGTTGCTGACCATCAGAAATTCAAATCCAGCTTGCAAGTCCCCGTTTTGTTTTTAAGTCGTTTTTAAATTTTTTATGGTTGCTAAGTAAATTTTATTCTGAATGAAGGCCGTGCATCTCAAAGTGGGGAAGGCCAAGGAAGGCAGTGCAAAGCGAGACAGACCGAGCCCCTCTTCCCTGCCCTCCCACATCCCCCCCCCTCCTGGATTGGGGTCCAGTGCCCATACGATGCCTCCAGTGGCCTTAGCTCTGCTGTACCCTTTCGACTGTACGGTGGATGCTTTTATACGCGATTGTGTTTTGTAATGTGTAAAGGCACATTAAAGAGAACTAACTTCATGCCTCCTGTGTTTTTTTTGGGGGGGGAGACTGGAAACTCGTTTTTCTGCCCTAGAGCAGGGGCCCCGCAACCCCCAGCTCACTCCTGGGCCCTGAGCTGTTCAGAACCAGGCCGCCGAAGTGGACAAGCTTGTCCGAGCAGCAGCAGCGAGCACATCCATACATACGTGCTCCATTCACACAAGCACACGTGTGCCCACTGCTTGCGTGGGGTTACACTGGCTTGCCCCCCACGTGGAAACATCCCCTCTTCTCTCCCTGCTGATCCACAAGGCCGGAAAGATTGGAGAAGTAGAGAGTGGAGGAAGAAACTACCAGCATCCTCCCTTTTTCTTTTTCTCTCAAACAAAGTTGTTTATTTTTTGTTACATATTTAAAATTCTTTTGCAAACAGAATGTTGTCCGTTTTCCCCCCTTTAACATTTTCACATATACATAATTCGTTTTGCATTATATTTCCATTTCCCATTTTAGCCATATTATCTTCCCATATTTTCCAACTTTTATTTTTTATATATATATACATAAAAAGCATGTCATTTTTATCCCTTTAGAAATAAACCAAATTTATCATTTCATTTCCATCTGTTTTCTATAAGTAACATATCTTCAAGTTGTTTTTTTTTTTATATAATCAACATTTTACTTATTTGCACAATTAACAATATTAATATAGTTCACTTACATCTTAATTAGCTACATACCATTACTATGATTAACATTTCATTTTATTTTACTGATCCCGTTCCTCGTTTCTCCCCCCGCCCTTTTCCCTATGTATTCTTTCTTTTCTTCTGGTTCTTTTCTCTCACTTTTCGATATATTTTTGGGATAACCCTCCCGAGGCTTTTTCTTCTTCGCTTCCCACTATTTCTCTCTTTTACTTTTGGCTAATTTCTTTTTTGGATACCATCTCCCCCTTTTCCCCCCTCTATCCTCTTTCTATGCCTCTGTAAATCTCAATCGCATTGTCTAATTGGTTTTAGTTTTTATTTCTTTTTCTACAGAGTTAACTTCTTGTTTCTCATTTGTGTTCCTTGCAAAGTTCCTCTATCTCCTGTTCTTTATATTTCAACAATTTTTCTGGCCCCTTTAATGTTGCTCACGCATCTTTTAGCATTTCAACAAGTTCCTCAAACATCCCCCCCCTCCATGCTCAAATTTAACACACTTTTAATGTCTTTATAATTTTGCCAGTTAATTAAGTCTTTCTTGTTTCCACCTTTTAATATCAGGTCCCAGAGTAGTCCAGTCCACTTCAAAAGTTTTTCGTTTTCTTCCTCCACCATAGACAAATCAAAGTCAGACAAAAGACAGGGACCGCACCCTCCTTCAACGTTCTCAGTATCTCTCGTCTGTGGTCAGGTTTTTACTGCAAGGGTTTATTTCAAAATGTTATTGTACTTCTCTTCTCTGGTAGGTGGGTTTTAGAATCCTTCTATGCAACCGAACCACGTCAGAAAAATTACCACAAACCCAAACCAAAAGCTCTAAATCCATGCACAAATTTTCCAAGTTTTTTCCTTTGTTTTTGTTTTCAGTTCTTCCAATCCTAATTTTATTAATCAAAATCCTCTTGGGCTTGGTATTTAACCACTGATGGTTCCCTCTGCCCCCTTTTTTCCCTCCCTCCATGTTCCGAATGACGCTGAGCCGCTATTTTAAGCTCCAGAAAAAAATTAAGCTCCAAAGTGAAAATCTTTTACCCTTGCTTCGGCCACTCTTTCTCTGGTCCCAGCACTCCATCCGTAACACCACTCCTGCCCAAACCTATTCCGGTTGCCCCAGCTTCAGAGCATCATTTGAAGATGGCTGATGGCTGACACTCCCACCGTCGATCTTTGAAGACCTTGTTTCCGACTTATTGAGGAGCTTGCCTTGTTCCTCGCAGTTGTCCGAAACGCCTCTTCTTGTACCCCAACCCTTCAGGATGGTTCTGGTCCGAGATCTCGACAGCAGCTTGCCGGCTGGGTTTTTGCATAGCTGCGCAGAGCTCGCTATTTCCCCAGCTGTTCTCGCGGTGACGCTTCCGGATTCTGAAACTACCGTAATGTCTTTAAAATTCTTTTCATGCAGCTTTGCTACCGGCAACGTGGAAATGAGTGCAAGAAAAATGTGGCTTGCTTAGGAAGGCAGAATTCTAACTGCAAAGGGTCGCTGAAGGATTAATTTTTCAAATAAGTCTAATTCCCTTTTTAAAAAACAGAAATGTGATACCTCGGTACTCGTGCTTAATTGGTTCTGGGAGGTGCGACGAGCACTAAAAAGAGTAGCAAACAAATCATGTGATTTACTGTGATCTTTCGTTTCAGTAGGGAAGGACTTCCTATCAGTCCCTTTTCTTATGTCGGCAATCTTCTGAGCATGGCCGACTTCCTTTCGCCCCTCTGTGGTTGTCTTCTACTTTCTTTTTGCACTGTGTTGAGTACCAGACAAAGGTGAGCACCAGGGCATTTTTGTGTCAAAATGTGTTGACTACCAAATTCAAAAAGTTTTGAAGCAGTCGAATACCGAGGTGTCACCGTACGTTTTGAGTGACAGATTTATGCCCCAAAATAGCATCTAGTGCCTAGCCAGGTCCCCTAGGCTCCCCCAAATTCCAGTCAGCTGTGGAAGATGAATGGCCAATACATAGGATAATAACATCAATATTTATAGGAGTCTAGTGGGCAATTGCAAAATACCTGGAGAACGACTCAAATGGATAGATGGATGATAGGATAGATAGATATAATCTATAGATAATAGATCAGGGATGTCAAACTCTATTTCATTGAGGGCCGCATCAGGGTTGTTTGACTTTGGGGGGGAGTGGGGAGGGGGCATGGCCAGGGTGGGAGTAGCCAGCTTAACGAGGCTCCATTTTCAGCGACATTGGCCCTCCCAGGTTCTGTCATAGGTTACGACAGCACTCCTGCGCTGTTTCTCTGCCAGCAAAAACTGAGCTTGGGAGGGCCACGCACATCCTCCCCAAGCTCCCTTTTTGCTGGAGAGGCACTGCAAGCCCATCCTTCGCTGTTTCCAGGGTGGGCCCAGAGGCCAGATCTAACCACTCTGTGGAACGAATCTGGCCCTCGGGCCCTGAGTTTGACGCCCTTGTGAAAAATATAGATAGATGGTAGATGGATTACGGATGGATGAATTGATAGATATAGACAGAGGGAGATGGTAGATAGGGTTCCACCACAAAACCGTGTTCGACTAAAGGGCGCTCGACGAAACCGCGTAGCTGACGTCATCACAGCGCGACAACAGCGCGGAGAAAAAAGCACGCTGTAAACGCTAAACCTAACCCTAAACCTAACCCTTAACCTAACGCTAAACCTAATCCTAACCCTTAACCTAACGCTAAACCTAATCCTAACCCTTAAC